GATACAATGAAAAATTGAGCCTGGTGTACATGGCAGCAAGACTGGATGGTGGCTTTGCAGCAGTCTCCAGGGCGTTCCATGAGGTAAAAGTCCCTCAGATTCCAACCTGAACCCTTTTACCATCAGTTTCTTTATCCATAAAGTAGTGTTCTGGAATAAGGACTCTTGGAACTTTGCATGCACCTTTTTTTTTTTTTTAAAGAGGCTTTCTTTATCCTCTGAAAGGATTCTGTGATTCAAGAAAGGTTCAGAACCACTGTTCTAGGAGCTTCATATTCTACAAAGAATTTCTGTTGAATCTCAAAAGATATTCACCTCTCACCTTTTCTTTCATGGTTCCCTAATTTGTATCTACCAAGGCCCTAAATAAGTATATACTTGCCCTCCTGTGGGGTATTGTATATTTCATCAGATCCGGGCTCGAATTCCAGAGTTCCAGCCACAAACCTTGATGGACTTTGGTTCGGGTACTGGTTCTGTGACCTGGTAAGTAGCCTTCTTCAGCTCTTTCTCTATCAATTCTAGCTCTAGAGAACAGTGCTCTACCACCCCAATATCAAGTGACTAGAAAACCAGGAGGAAAATAGGAAAGTTGGGAATTAGAATGTTTCTTCCTTCAGATTAGGCATTGCAGAAGACGGTATGTGGATTGGGGCCAAAATTTAAAGAAATGTCAAGTGGAGAAAGGTCCACGTTTAGAAAGATTAAAAAAAGGAAAGAAGATTAATATAGAGCATAGGTTTTACATCTCAATCAAAAAATCTTTGCCTACAAATAGTGTTTTAAATCTGTCCCCTCACGCTTTTTTTTAAGGCGTTATATGAGAAGTAAAATAACATGTTAGTTTTTCCAACTATTTTAGTCTCTTGTAGGGATGATGCTTTGTCATGAGAATTGGTGGTTTATATTTTGCGATCTTAGGGCTGCTCATAATACTTGGGGCCAGAGTCTACGTGAATATATGTGTGTGGACAGCTCAGCTGCTATGTTGGATTTGGCAGAAAGGCTACTGAAAGGTGAGGAAAAGATATAAGGAAGGGCTCTTCAAAAGTTGAGGGAGTTAAGAAAGCAAAGGCATACTAGAAAGGGTGTTTTCTTGGGAAGTAGAGGAGAGGACAAAAGGTTGAGTTGAGTCTGGTCTCCTTCCAGTGTTACGACCAAGCAGAGGGTGGTAGATGCCTTTGCAGTACTGTGGATGGGTTGGGTAAGATTAACAGTATACGAAACCGAAGATTCTCCCTGCCCTTTTTAATATTTGCTTACCCTATTGTATCTCTTACCTAGTGTTTTTACTTATTCTCAGGGCCATGTTTCTTATCTGGATACTCTTAGCTTATACCTATGGCCAGTAAGTTTTATACACTCATAGTTGCCATTTCTCCTTTTCTCCACAGGTGGTTCAGAATCTGGGGAGCCTTATGTTCCAGGTGTCTTTTTTAGACAGTTTCTACCTGTCTCACCCAAGGTAAGTGGCAGTGTTTAGGGTGGCCAGGTGTGGAATGTGGCAGATGGAGAACTGTGGCCTCAGCTTTCCAACCCAGTGTTGAGTGTTAGAAGATAAAACAAAGCAGTAGAAGAAATTTAGGGGACAGACTTTTGTTGTACTCATGGATGGGAAGCGGTCTGGGTCTGTCATGCTTCTTGTCTTGGTCCTCAGGTGCAGTTTGATGTGGTGGTGTCAGCCTTTTCCCTAAGTGAGCTGCCCAGCAAGGCTGACTGCACTGAAGTAGTTCAAACGTTGTGGCGTAAGACTAGTCATTTTCTGGTGAGTGAAGATCCTTTTTTCTCTTCAGCTCAAAGCAGGTTCATAAGTTTCATGCCTTTCCTTCTTCCCTTTCCTTCTTCTTCATGCTTGTCTTCATTCTTGACCATTTTTTTATATCCCTCTCTTAGGGACTCCATCCATGTTTTACACGTAGTTCCCATTCCATCTGTGAACGCTCATACAGAGCTGCTGGCATTAATGCGTTCATGTAATTCAGGGCTTCTGCTTATTTTCCCCTTTTGTGAACAGATACTGGTGGAGAATGGAACAAAAGCTGGGCACCGCCTTCTCATGGATGCCAGGGACCTGGTCCTTAAGGTAAGGTCCCTTCTCCTTCATCCTCAACCCATCAGTCACAATTTACTGGCATTCCCTTGAATACTGAAGAAACTGCTGTATATTAGTAAGGCTGACTCAGGAAATTTGGCCTCATTATGATGTAGGGCAGTGGCTGGCAAACTAGGGCCCGCAGGTCAAATGTGACCTGCCACCTGTCTTTATATGAGCCTGGTTCATTCATTTCTCTATTTCCTGTGATTGTTTTTATACAACAAATACCAGAGTTGAGTAGTTGGGACAGAGACAGATTTTGCCTCTTAGCCCACAAGCCTAAGATATTTGCTGTCAGGCCCTTTAAAAAAGTTTGCCAACTCCTAATCTATGACATTGCTAAGCCAAGAACCTTGTTTCTGTGGGACAGTGTGAGCCAGTATATAATCATAAATTCAGTTGTCCCAAAGTGGGATTGTTTTGAGAGAGGAGGTTGCTGACAAGGGAGAACATCATACTATGTGCCAAGTCCCTGCCTTTCTCCTGCTACAAAGAGAACGTTCTTTGTTTGGAATATTAGAGTAGCAGCCAGCTTAACTCTAAGGACATGGTTTATAATTATCAGAATTGGATGTTAAAGAAGTACTCAATTAACTGAGTACAGGGATTGAATTATGAGACTAGATCCCTCAGGCCCAGCTTTGTTTCTTTGATTTCAGGGCAAAGAGAAGTCACCTTTGGACCCTCGACCTGGTTTTGTCTTTGCCCCAGTGAGTATTCTACCTGTCCCTGCATGCAAAGATCTGAACTCAGGAAAACAGAGAGAGTAAAACTAAGCCACTGTTCCACTACTTTGTGACTTATCCAGTTTCCTCTCGGGTTCCCTTGGCTCTCCCACCCCTTGCTCTTATACTCTTCTCCCTAGGCCCTCTTGACTAGATTCTCAGTTTTATGGTCCATGGTTCTTTTGTCTTACCTCTTGTCTTTATGTGTGTTTACAGTGTCCCCATGAACTTCCTTGTCCTCAGTTGACAGCCTCTAAGCCCCTGGCCTGCAGCTTCTCCCAGGCTTACCATCCCATCCCCTTCAGCTGGATGGTATGTACACTGGGAGTATTGGGGCAGGGAGAGAATAGCCTGGAAAGCAGGAAGAAAAGAATCAGGTGGGAGGAGTTGGAGAATTTGGAGAATAGCCTGGAGATCTTAAGACACACGTGTGTATGATTCATAGAATAAGAAAAAAGACTGCAGGGATGGGGATCAGGAAGTTTTTTCCCATATCTTTTTCCTCTAGTTTCTATATCCTTATCTTAGAACAAGAAGCCAAAGGAGGAAAAGTTCTCTCTGGTGATCCTTGCCCGGGGCTCTCCAGAGGAGGCTCATCGCTGGCCCCGTATCACTCAGCCTGTCCTTAAACGGCCACGTCATGTGCATTGTCACCTGTGCTGTCCAGATGGGCATATGCAGCATGCTGTGATCACTGCCCGCCGGCATGGCAGGTATGGGGGTGTGTGATCAAAATGAGTGGGAGGTGGCAAGAACATGCAGCCTGCATGACATTTCTTTTCCATAGAGATTTGTATCGCTGTGCCCGGGTCAGCTCCTGGGGAGATCTTCTACCTGTGATCACTCCGTCTGACCTTCCTCCGTCCCCTGCTCAAAATGATCCCCCTGAGGGCTGACAAGGATATGTAACAAGTATTTTCTTCTCTCATGCCTGCGAAGGCTGAAGCTTCCTTGTATCCAGGGTGGTAGTGCTGGTACTCCCATGTCTGTGTTTGTTTGAGGTTTTGATAATAATAAATTTTTTTTAAAGAATGGAAATGAATTTTGTGATTCTTAAGAGGTATAGGGTTCCATTATCTTGGCCTGCCTTATAACAGAGAATCCTCATATTTTCAGTGCTAGGCCCCCACACAAATCTCAAGTTCATCCTCTACTGTAAGAACTTCGCTGCTTCTATCAGGCAGGGATCAAGACTTCCCAGGGAAGGCTGTCTGGGATAGTGGGGGTAGCCACCCCCAGCTCTCTGAGAACTGGCTCAACAGGTCTCAGGGTTGTTTTGCAGGCCACTTGAATAGGGGAACCAGCAGCTGCATGGCCTCCATTTTTTTTACCTCTCCTGTGTTTCCCAAGGCCCCTCATCTACCATGGAGTTCACCACATACATTTCCCTCAAGTTGATGCCAGTCAGGACTGAATGTCCCACCTCCACCCCTGTATACCCAGGCAGGACTTCATTTACTTGGTTCATTTCTCAGTTTTCCTCTAGGCTTTGCAGTTTCAGGGCTAGAGCAACTTTATCTCAAAGCTCTCAGTCCCTCTTCTACAGTTCAGGAAACGGAGGAACAGTCGGAAGTTGTGATAGTATCAGTGTTGTAATACTAGAAATCTTAACTTTCCACTAGACGTTTCCATGCCTGCAGCTATTTTTCTGGGGTTACAGGAAAGGAGAACCCCCTCACCTAATTCCCACGGAGTAGTTCCTGTGCCGCCTCAGCCCCACCTCCTCATTACCCCCAGGTGGCCCCAAATCCTCTCTGAAAGGGTACAGTTCAAGTATCAGCATGACAACCTATAAGGATTGGGATGGGGTGGAGAAGGTATGGAAGGCTTGGATCAAATGTCCTGAGTGAAGCAAGACCAGATTGTTGCCAACACAAAACAGCAGAGAAGTAGCCATCATAGACTCCTATTTTTGGGTTAGACCAGCCCCAGGCCTGAACTAACACTGTTTGCAGCCCGTGGATTAGTCACAGCCATTAAACAGAGAAGAAGGCGCACACAGCACTGGGCTGTGCCTGCCAGGGAGTCTGGAGTTGCTGGTTTTGAAGCTCAGGAAGGCGTGAGGCAGGGGAGGGGCCTCCATGTAGGGGAGGGCAGGAAGCCAGAGCAGGGCCCTAGTCAGCTATCCAGCGCTGCGCAAGCAGAGGCCACACTGAACAGAAACTATACCGAGAGCCTCCTGAAACTAAGGGCTGAGTGGGCACTTCAGCTTTGACCACCTACGATACCAGTCCTGCTCCAAAGATTATAATTCCATTTGTCATCCTGGGACCTCTGCTTATCCTGCATCCCAGGAATGGAGCCACTACAAGGAGTAAAAATAGGCTGTCTGTTTTCCCTGCTGGTGCTCAACCTGGTCTGTGGCCTTATTCCCATCTGCTTCAAATGGTTCCAGATTCATGCAGCCACAGGTATAGTCCTACTCTGACCTCAACCCTATCCTGATACCCTGCTCTGATTCTCTCACCATCCCCACGCTGGGGATCTTGAGTGTTCCTGTTCCTCCTCAGCCACCTTTGTCTCCTCGTTGCCAGTTGGATCGTAACTTCTGCTTTTTATTAGGTCGTCACTGCCGGCTCCTCAGCCTCCTGGGCTGCACTTCTGCGGGTGTTTTTCTGGGTGCAGGGTTCATGCACATGACCGCTGAAGCCCTGGAGGGAATTGAATCAGAGCTCCAGAGGTTCACAATACAGGTGAGCAGCAGAGATGCTGAACTGCAGGGCTGTGAGACCAGAATGATGAACAGAACCAAGAGAAGAAAGCGAGAGGTAATGGAGCCAAGGATGCGAGTGGAACTACAGGGCAGGTGACAGCTTTTGTGTGGAATGATGAAAGGAACTCAGATTGGGCTTTAAGGGAAGCAGTGGGGTTGAAGGGACAGGGCAGGAAGCTAAGCTGCTCCATCCCATCTAATTTCTGCTTTTTTCTCCCTAGAACAGGACAGAAAATGGAGGAAATTCTTCTGATGCTGCTGATTCAACTCAGGTGAGCATTTCCCAACAGCCCCTACCTAAAGAGTGAAGTGAACCAGCATCTTCCTTCATGGCCAGACCCTTTTGAGGGGAGTATGTGAGGAATACCAGGAATCCCTTCTGTTCCCCACCTCAGCCATTATAGCAGAAAGGATTCCTTTTGGGTTTATGAACTTTGCTATACTCTTTCATTCTTTCCTGGATCCTTTGATATGCTTCACATCATTTTCCATATTTCTGACCCTATTGATATTGTGTCTGTTAGGTCCTCTGGCATTCTTTTTGTTGTATGTCCATATCTACTCCTGACTTCATTTCTACACCTTTTTTTATGTCTTGTTACCATATTTTCCAGTTTCCTTCAATCTCCTAATCCCATGTCCATCCAGTGCACTATCTTCCCCTTCCTTTCCCATCTCATAGCCTCTCTTTCTGTCCCTAGAAGGTGTATCCCTACGGAGAGCTCGTCATCTCCCTGGGCTTCTTCTTAGTCTTCTTTCTGGAGTCGCTGGCATTGCAGTGCTGCCCTGGGACTACTGGACAATCAGCAGTGCAGGAGGAGGAATGGCATGGGACTCATGCCTTTGGACTCCACAGCCATGGACCTCTACCCTCACGCTCACAGGGTCCCCTTCGAGCCGTCATCCTCTTGCTCTCACTCTCCTTTCACTCCGTGTTTGAAGGTCTAGCTGTGGGGCTGCAGCCAACAGTGGCAGCTACCCTGCAGCTCTGTCTTGCTGTCCTGGCTCACAAGGGGCTCATAGTGTTTGGTGTAGGACTGCGGCTGGTGCAGATAGGCACTGAACCACGACTGACCGTGTTCTCCATACTGGCATTAGCTCTCATGTCCCCCCTGGGCCTAGCTCTAGGGCTGGCTGTGACTGGAGGGGACCCTGAAGAAGGGTGGGGCTTAGCCCAGGCAATGTTAGAGGGGGTGGCAGCTGGCACCTTCCTGTATGTCACCTTCCTAGAAATTCTGCCCCAGGAATTAGCTGCTTCTGAGGCCCCTGTGGCCAAGTGGGGCTGTGTAGCCGCTGGTTTCGCCTTCATGGCATTTATTGCTTTGTGGGCATGAGAGAGATTCTTAACTTTTCTGATGGACCTATCTAGGATGACCTGCCTACTTCCAGGAGAACCCCCGCAAATGGCTTTGGCCCTCACCTGTTTCTTCAGTGAGACTAAGTGGCATTCACTAGGCATCGTCCCCATGGACTAGACCCCAGCTTTTCCCTACATGAGATCCCATTTCTCACCGAGGATTGAGAAAAGGATATTTAGGTTGAGTGCCTATAAATTGGAGAATTGGTATAAAGACCGTCACTCCAGATTTGACTCTTGTCGCGTTTATGCCGCTGTGGTAATAAAAGGTCCTTCCCCTTCAACCATGCTGCACTTCATTTCTCCTGGTTGCCTAGAAGCTGCCTGGTCTAGAGTAGGGTGTGGGAAGGGCAAGTATTGGGTATGGTATTTTCTTCTGAAATCAGGACCCCTAGCCATACTACCATAGTTAAAGGCCATGCTCCCCAGACATTGGTGCATTGCTGAAATTCCAACAACCCCCCCCCACCTTACCCACAGGTGTTAAGAAACTAAGTCAGAGTTCCAGCACTTAGAGTGAAAGTAGGCTTTAAAAATAGGAAGCATGCAGATTTTAATTTCTTCCTACACTAACCATGCCCACTGCATTCTCAGTACCTATTGTCAAACCCCAGCACATGCCCAACAGAATCTTGAGATCAGGCTAAATGGAGGTTATTTCCATCTGGTTCCTATTTTTCACACTGAGCCCTTTGTGGCCTCAGGGACATTATTGCTCTTCTCGGAGCCTCTGTCTCCTGCCGGCTGCCTTGTGCTGGGGGATTAAGAAGCAGTGTGTTTGGAGAAGGGGAGAGGCGCCAGATAAATGCCTTGGGTGATTAGTTGCCTCTGCCACAACTTTCTGCCTGCCCTGCCCCCAGGCCTGCCACTGTGCCTCTGGCCCCTCCCCATTACACCACTTGTCTTTCAATGCAAGTTACCCCTACAGTTTGTTGGTTCTCTTACAAACTGTTAAGGACAAATACAAAAGCAGATTGTCTAGAATTGAGGGGGAGTAGGATGAGTGTTGCCCAGCCTCAGACCCATAAGATGAAAGAGTATCTCAGACTTGGTGGAGAGATAGGGGAAAGAGAAAGTGTACCCTATGAACTCATTCACGCTCACCAGTTTACCCGTTTTGATACTTTCAGTGTTGAAGCCCAAGATTCCTTAGCATGGACAAGGTCTCCCGAGTTTCATTCTTAGTCTATATCTCCTGTCCATCCTGTTCCCCTCCTCACAATGTAAGAAAGAAAAGCTTCCTCACAAGCACAGCCTGCACACCCAGGGATCAGTGATAAAGTAAGCTTCAGGCAAAAAAAAAAAAAAAGTGTCTAGCACAGGAAATAATTCCCCTGAAGCACCATCTATTCTGTTTCTCCTTCAGCACTAAATGTAGTAACGTAATACACTCAGAACTGTGCCTAGTATGTAGTAATAATATAATTTCCACATTGAGCACCTGCTGTGCCAGGCACTGTGCTGTTGCTTTCACATATATTATCTCACCTTCACAACTCCACCAGGTAGATACTATCACCATAGTAGGTTTGGGGAAATTGGCATTCAGAAAAGTTAAATAACTTGATCATATAGCTAGCTTGGCTTCAAACCCACATTTCTCTAAGACAAGCTCGTTATATATATTCTTTTCTTCCTTACTTTTACCCTACCACCCCTCCCATCTTCCCATTATGTATGTTAGGGTCCTAGTAGGAAGCAGATAGCAGATAATTGAGGCAAGTTGAACAAATGGAGTGCTTAGTAAGTTGTGGGCAGGGTTTGGAGAAAGCAGCAAATGATGGTGCAGTACTCTGACTGGATAATAACAATTCTGTTCCCATCCCTGGGCTGAAGAGAAGGGAGCAGTTATCAGAAACCAGGGACATGAATGGGTAAGAGCTGTGGCCTTTGGGAAAAGGTTTACACATAGGAACAGTCTTTTATGGTTACCAGGGGTGGGAGAGGGAGGGAGGGAAAATCACTAACTAGAGAGTAGACACACGTTAACTTTGGAGAAGGGAAATGAAGTACACGATAAGGGGGAAGTCAGCATAGCATGACCAAGGCATGGGAAGATACTGAGAGGTATGTAAGAATAAAAGGCAATGATGGTAAATACTGTAACAGACAATCCTGCAACAACAGTAATAACAATAATTAATGAGTGGATACATAGGTAGATATGCGTGCTAAATAGGTGTGGGCACATATAGGTTTGGCTGTGGATATTTCTACGTACCTATCTGTATGTGCTGCATGTATATTCATATATATAACAGAGTACACAGGGGGCACAGTCATGGAAACATCCTAGACATAACCAAACACCTCATGGGACTGTGTTACTCGGCTTGAAGGCTAAGGACCATAGGTTCGGGGAACATCTAGGTCAATTGGCATAACATAGTTCATAAAGACAACGTTCTACATCCTACCACCAGGGTCTTAAAAGCTTGCAGATGGCCGTCTAAGATAAAACTATTGGTCTCTTTCCATCCGGAGCAAAGGAGAGTGAAGAAAACCAAAGACTCAAGGAAACAATTAGTCCAAAGAACTAATGGACCACAGGAACCACAGGACCTCCACTAGCCTGAGACCAGAAGAACTAGATGGTGCCCAGCTACCTCTGACCAGGATCACAATAGAAGGTCCAAATCAGAGTGGGAAAAAAATGTAGAACAAAATTCAAATTCATAAAAAAAGACCAGATTTACTAGTCCAAGACAGACTGGAGGAACCCCTGAGGCTATGACCCTTAGACATCCTTCTGACTTGGAACTGAAGCCATTTCTGGAGATCACCTTTCATCCAAATTATAAGTAGGCCTATAAAATAAACAATAACACCCATGAGGAAAGTGATCCTTAGAACAATCATCTATATGAGACCAAAAGGGCAACATCTGCCCAAAAGCAAAGATGAGAAGGCAGGAAGGGGCAGGAAAACCAGACAAATAGAACTGGGGCACTCAGGTTGGTAATGGGAAGATGGCTGACACATTTCAGGGATTGTAACCAATGTCACGGAACAATTTGAGTATAAACTATTGAATGTGAAACTAATTTGTAAACCTTCACCTACAGCACAATAAAAATTTTTTTTTTTAATTTAAAACAGGTATTCAAACAAATGAAAATACTTGTACGCAAATGCTATTCACAATAGCCAAAAAGTGTAAACAACCCAAATGTCCATTAACGGGTAAATGGATAAAATGTGGTATATCCATACAATGGAATATTCTGCCATATAAAGGAATGAAGTATGCTACAACGTGGATGAATCTTGAAAACATTATGCTGAGTGAAAGAAGCCAATTACAAAAGACCATATAGTATATGACTGCATTTATGAATGTAACAAAACTGAAAACCAAACCCGTTGCCACTGAGTCAATTCTGACTCATAGCAACCCTAGAGGACAGAGTAGAACTGCCCCATAGTGTTCCCAAGGAGCAGCCGGTGGATTCAAACTGCCGACATCTTGGTTAGCAGCCAAGCTCTTAACCATTGTCCCACCGGGACTCCATGAAATGTACAGAATAGGCAAATTTATAGAGACAGAGAGTGGATTAGTGGTTGCTTAGGGATGGGGGAATATCTGCAGTGATAGCTAATAGGTACAGTTTTATTTATGAAGTGATGAAAATGTTCTAAAATTGTAGTGATAGTTTCACATATCTGTGAATAAAAAAAATTGAATTGTACAATTTATATGGGTGGATTGTACACTATGTGAATTTTATCTCAATAAAGCTGTTACTAAAAAAATAAAAAACTGTGGCCTTTAGTAGAGGGAAGCAACCAAGCTGCAGGGACCTGACAAGGAGGAGCCAGGAGAATAACCTCAGTCTCCTACTCAGGGACCTACTGCCAATGTCTCTTACTGGCCAAACCCGGACAGAAGCCAGAGGACAAAAATGTCTGCTGGTGCACTGCAGGCTGGTCAGCCTCATGGGGCACAGGGCAGAATAGAGAGCTCTAGAGGGGCAAACAAGACATACAATCCATCCTCTTGTGCTTTCAACTTAAGTGATCTTGCTGGAACTTTGGAAGGGACATGATTATATGGAAGCTGGAGAGCTATATCTAGTACAAAGCATTTGTATGACTGTTAAAAGGAGACTTAAGGAGAAATACATGAGGCTGTCAGGGCTCTTCACTGTGATTTTGGGTCACTGATTCTATCAGCATTGGACATGAATGACGTGAAGGTTGGAATATTTCAAACATGGATGAGTCATGCACTTTTTGCCTTCCTCCTGCCCAGGGGCCCTTGCATTAGCCTTCTCTGCTTTCAGCCATAAATAGTTTCCTTCCCAGCTCATTTCCTTTCGCGTCCCCAGGATTCTTACCAACCAGGACCAGAACTAGCTTTAGTTTGAACTATATTGTACCAAAAGCCGTAATAGGCTAGAGAATGGCTCCGTGGAAACAATAAAGATGGGGAGAAACTCAGGATCAGGAAAAGGAAACAATCTTCTGATCATTTTCTAAAGATGTGACTCCACAGCAAGGACCCAGAGGCTATAAGGGAGCAAAAGATGAGTGTGATTTCTGAGTGGGATTGAAACAAGAAGGCTGGAATATGAACAGGCATAAAAACCAAAGGCCAGGAGGGGGAGCTGAGATAGCTGGGTGTGGTGACTAGAAGCCAACTCAGGAGCGGGCCTGGACTCAGGGAGAGATAGGTTGTAAATGAAGGCAGCTTGAATAACGAAAGTTAAGAAAGAAAAATACAACAGAGGATATGCAGAAGGGGAAAAAGGATAGGAAGGGAAGCTAGCTGAAATAGTCATGAGAATTTATGCGGAAAAATTGTCAAGGCTTCTCAATCCCAGTCCCCCTTCCCCACCACTCATTCTTCTTTCTCACTCAAGCATTTTTTATATCTAAACAGGAAAAAACCAGATGGAGACCTCCAACTGACCAGGAGCCAGCTTTCCATTTGTGCCACCAAGAAATTGTTCTCTGAAGTCCACCTTTGGAACTCCCTCCATCTTCCCTTTGCTTACAAACTGAGGGTTTGATTTGGATATTGCAGTTGTAGGATGACAATTTGTGAAGAAAGGGGATGGAGTGGTGGGGATAGCGTCAAAGACAAACCAGATTTTGGGGACTATCCCAGAGCAGGGCGGGAAGTCAGCCAGAGGTCAACACCTGAGGACAAGATAGAGGCAGGAAGAAAAACCAAGGCACTCCAGACTCTCTTGTGAGAGAATTCCTGCCACTTCGCACATCCCCTAAAGGGCAGTTTTGGAGTGTCTTGCCTGCCTTACCATAGGAAACATTCCCTTTGCTCCTGGCTCAGGTCTGATAGAGTACAAGGAATGGCTGCCAGAATTTGAGTGGGCTGATATGTGTGAGTCTGGCAACCAGCCAGACACGTGCTCATTCCCCCTAGTGTCTGGGGTAGGCGCACATTGCCACTAGCAAAGGTGAAGCAAAAGGGCTGCAGACAGGGATTGTGCACCGCAGGCCCCAGGCCTGCAGATGTTTAAACATGCCAGGGGTGGAATTTTTTTTTTATTTTAATTTTGTTCTCAGTTACTAGCTTTGGATTTGTTGAATGTCAAATACAGAATGCATTCTACTTTTACTATGTATCCAATTTTGAGAAAATTCTGATGTTAGTGACAAAAGAGACTGCAAACAAATTACATCGAGAGCTATGGCTGCTAACCAAAAGGCTGGCAGTTCAAATCCACCAGCTGCTCCTTGGAAACCCTATGGGGCAGTTCTACTCCGTCCTATAGGGTCTCTATGAGTTGGAATTGACTCAATGCAACAGGTTTGCTTTTTATTTTTATTTTTTTGTTTGGGTACCATTTACCTTCACTTCTTCTCCCTGGGCCTCTTGTCAGAACTCTCACTTCCCAATTAGTCCTAAGATATCTCTAGAAAGGCAGTGTCTCCCACTCCTGCATTTCCCCTAAGCACTAGAAACCAACCAATTGACATGGAGTCAATTCCAGTTCCAATGTGTGTCAGTAGAACTGTACTCTATAGGGTTTTCAATGGATGATTTTTCAGAAGTGTATCACCAGACCTTTCTTCAGTGATGCCTCTTTCAATTAGTAGGTGAGCAGGTTAACCATGCGCACCACCCAAGAGGGACTCCTAACCATGAGATAGTCCTCTCTAATGTTAACATCGATCCTTCTTGCTGCAGCATCACTGTTTTGCAAGTACCTTCCGAGAATTACCCCTTAAAATCTCTTCATGCAACCCAGAGTTTTCAAACTGAAACCACAGGTTCTTCTCACTGCATTCTTCCCATTGAGCCCTCTTTCAGACTTGATTGTCCCTGAAGTCTGGGAAGCATCTACATTCCTTAAGAATGAGGAGAAGAGAGAAACAGGAATCCTAAGTCTTAAAGCAGAGACAAAAATTAATGAGTTTGTGGTTCAGCTTCTATAAAGCCAACCACAAACTCCCTCTTCGGAGCCTCTGAGTTCTGATCCTGAGAATGGGCAGGGGCAGCAGGCCATGACATTGTGACCTCCCCATACAGCTACTGCACAAAACCACAAAAAACAAAGAGGCTGCAGGACTGGGGAAACTTAGTTATGGAACTAGGAACTGGAGAAATTTCCTCCATGCCAACCACAGGGGGGCACTGTGTCCCCATGGGCTAAACTAGAGTGTCTAGGACCAACAAAGGGAGGTCAGTCAAGGACAGTAAGCCCCCTCGCCCTTGCTCCCAGCAGAAGGCATCTCTCTCTCTCACTCTTGGATTTCTTATGCAGAGACATCTGTAGGGGAGATACCCACGATCACCACCCACCTCACACACCCACCTATGTGATAAATGTACACACATTCACATAAGTACACATAATGTAATGTGCTCCCATTTCTGAAGATTACTCTGCTATGTGTAGGCAAATGTGGAGACAAGAGCTGCCTTCCCTTCCATAATGCACAACAGCAGCTATTGCCTATAAATTTTGTAGCTCTTTGCCTTTTCCTCATGTTTTTCCTAGGAGCTAGTTGATCCCAGTGATTCCAATTATGCCTTGTCTTTAGTGTGGTATTTAAGCACTCTTTGCTGCCTGTCCTGTGTGTGGCACTCTGGTTTAGGCAACCATCCAATAGCTCCATAACCCTATAGTCACCCATCACCCTGCCACCATTATGACTCTGGCCTAAAAAAAAAAAAAAAAAAAAACCCCACTGCCTTGGAGTCGATTCTGACTCATACTGACCCTATAGCAGAGTAGAACTGCTCCATAGGGTTTCCAAGGAGCAGCGAGTGGATTCCAACTGCTGCCCTTTTTGGTTAGCAGCCGAACACTTAACCACTGCGCCACCAGGGCTCCTGGCCTACTACATTTAAAATAGGCTTGGTCCTACCGGAGAGAGTGGTGAATGTTCAAGACTCAAGAACGTATTTCATGCCCCGCTTCTGGCCAGTGTGTCAACACTAGACATCCAGCTGCACTGGTCCTCAGCTCAGTCTCATTGAAGAAAGGGTATAATTGCCTGTGTGATTTCTATAAAGCAATCTGGCAAATGACCTTAGTAATATTCCATCCACAGTACTCTTGCCAATGATGCTACAAAGTGCCTTCTCATTTTTACTTTTGTACTTCAAGAGACCAAGAATCAGCCTGCAACAGTTGCAAAATACCTAAGTCCTCTTGAAGATAACTGTTCATATTTTTTGAAAAGCTTCTCAAGAGAACCACATAGTCTAATGAGCTCTCAGATCTCTTGGATCCCCTAGGGGAGCAGAAGTTCCCAAGAAGAAATCCTCCTTTTTGCTGTGACCCTCCCCCCTGAAAGAGTCTTCAGATTGGGGTGAACTATGAGCGGCATAACCCTATAGCAACTGCATGAGCCCTGATCTATGGACTATGCTGAACCCATCTAAATGGAGTTTAGATGACCCCAAGGCAAGGGTCCTGCAAGAAGATGGGCCACAAGACATCCTTTGGCACTTTAGTCAGTTTTCTGTATTTCCTTCTTTAAGATCATGATGTTGGTGGTATCTCTGAAATCCTATGGCATTTCTCAAAGATTCATAACTGTTAAGGAAGTCATCTAAGATCTAAACGACCCCTCTCTCCTGAGCCTGAAAATATTGGTTATCAAGCCCAAGAACAATACCGTTCTATTGGAACTGGGGCCCGTGACTTAAGTGGTCACATTTTATGAAGTGTCTATGCTATTTCAGCCCTCTCTCATGGCTTATGTCCCTTTGAGAAGAGAATGGGAGAATTGGACAGAGAGAAACGAGGGAAAGAGGCATGATGCAGGTATACCCAGACAAAGGATAACAGTGCTGATTCCTCTACAGTTTATTATTACAGCAGGAGTTGTGGGAGACAGGAGGGCACCCTCCACACGTATCACGGTGTGGTCAGAGCCCCAGGGCAGCCCTTCCTACCCCTATGCCAAGCCCCAAGCAGCCTGGCTCAAGCTTGGCTCCTTCCCCCATCCCACGCTAGACACACACTGACAGCTACCAAAGTTAGTGCAGCCAAATGGCCCCAGGCCCCTTTTTATTGCCCTAGCTCCAGTCCTTCCCCCATACTCGTTCTTTACCCACTACCTCCTATTCCATCTTCCTTTTCATACACTGGATGTTCCTGTCACATCCTGAGGGCCACTAGCAAGCCTCCCCCTGACACACATTCATTCAGGCCCATAATGAGAAGCCATATCAGCTTTGGTGAATGGAGCCCCAGACCCAAGTCCCCTCCCCCTTGCAAATATGAGATAAGTAGGAAGAGTCTGATGGAGGCACCATGGACAACTACAACAGCCTCTTATCCCTCATCTAAGGACACCTAGAACAGGGAGAGGGGACGCATGCCCTTTCCACCTTATACCAAATTGGAGGAGGAGAGTAATTTAGGGGTCTGGGTCTGTAACAGATATTAGGGCATCTCTCCCAGGAGCTGGGAGGAATCACAGGTTAGAGGTCAAGGTTAGGGTAGCACTCAAAGATCAAGGTTGTCTCCCCATGTGATCTGCCCATCTTCCCTTGCTCACTCTGGCCCAGTGCCCTTATGTGCCTCCCAGGTTAGTGCTGAGGGAGGTGAGGGCTGGGTCCCACACCAGGGCAGCAAGGGCCATTCAACAGGAGACCTCCATGGTGTGACCCGGAGGCCCTGAAGGGAGAGTCCCAGACTCGCTGCTCTGGGACAGGGTTCGAGAACGGGAGCGGTTGCCATCAATGGATGCTGCACTGGTCAGGGAGGTGGTGCGAGACCGGGACAGGCGAGTCATACAGGAAGAAGCCACTGCGGAGACAGAAGGATAACTAGGCAGTCAGAAAGGAGATGGGGAAGGAGCCTGGCAACTCAGAGTAGGTGCTTGGGTGGAGATGAGAGTTGTAACTAGGGCCAAGGAGTCCATGAACTTTACTTGGCAGATGGTAGTGAGTCCAGGAATCAGCCTAAAATGTTCCAATCCCTCAGTTCCCGTCCCTCCTCCTCTGCAGTAATCCCTTGTCCTCATGATGGCCCCTGAACCCCATACTCACTATAGCCCATGCCTTGCAGGAAGTACTTGAAGGCTTCGGTCAGCTTGCCTGGCTGTGGAAGCATGATGAGAGGGAGTCAGTGGGATGAGGTTAGAAGTTGAGCTGGAGCCCAAGGTAATGGCACATGTGGGCATAGGGTGTGAGGCAAAGGGCAGAGTTCCATGCCACTAATATCCTATCCCACCTCCCCACCCCATGGAAGGCAGGGATACTCACCTGAGTCAACTGGGGCTGACCTCCGGAGTCAGCCATCTGTTCAGAAGAGAGCCAACCAGAAAGAATGACACATGCGTAAAGAAAGGAGCCATGCACAGGGGTAGGACGGGGTCTCTCTTCCCTAGCTTCCTCTCCAGCCCCTTGAGTTTTGTTTGTTTGTTTTTTTCTTCAGTCATCCCACTTGCTCCCAAGCAGGGCCCTGGAGGCCTAGAAGCTGAATCTAGAAAGGATATAAGGCTGAGGACCCAGGGCAGGAGTCAAGCTGGGCGCGGAGCAGGACTACTGACCTTGAGGAAAGAGGTCTGGGTGGGGTCCAGTTTTGAGTTACATTCCACCTAGAGTAAGTATGAGGCTGAATGAATGAGGTCACACTCCCTCTGCCCCTCCCATTGAAGGGACCCAGGGACCCAGACTCCAGTCCCTTTCCTACCAGCCAGCCCCTTACCCATACCCTGACCCCACCCACCAGTAATCAAACTCTTAATTACCCGAAGTTACTCTTTCTGTCCCAAACAGAGCTTGCCCCTTGGCAAGATAACCCTCTGATACCATGCTAAGGACTCTGGCCCTCCCTCAACCACCCTAAACTTCCCTACTGACCACTGCATCTTCATGAGGTGCTTGGTCTCCTACCACCAGCAGCACAGGGCACCTGGAGGCACAGTGTTGGGGAGGAGGCAGTGAGCCCCTGGCACTCCCTCACCCACCTCTTCCCAGAACAGCAGCTGGAAAAATGTCTGCTCCAAAGAGGAAACAGTCTTCTGAATCCTACTGACCCCACCAAAGTTTAAAGTGGGGACACCTAGGGGTGGTGATATGCTAAACAGGATGGGGTGGGAGATGACAAGGAAATTCCCTGGCAAAAGACTCTCTTTCTTCTAATGGTATAAATACCTAGGGAAGATCCAGGGAATGGGGCATAGTTTTATCTCTTAAAGTCTTACCTGAGGGTGATATCACCTCTGCGCTCCAAGTTCAGGTCTCGGCGGCTAGAGAGGGGTTAAAAGAGGAGTAGGAATTTTAGGCAGGCAATGCTATCCATTGAAATGTAAGCTGTCTTCCCCATGAGAGTCTCTTCTTCCCCAAAACAGTAGTCCAATATTGGTGATTAAAAGTGAGAACCAATTCAGGGGACATCTAGGTCAACTGGCATAACAAAGTTTATTAAGAAAATGTTCTGCATCCTACTTTGGTGAGTGGCATCTGGGTCTTAAAAGCTAGTGAGCAGCCATCTAAGATGCATCAATTGGTCCGAACCCACCTGGAGTAAAGGAGAATGAATAATACCAAAGACACAAGGAAAGTATTAGCCCAAGAGACAAAAAGGGCCACATAAACCAGAGACTTCATAAGCCTGAGACCAGAACTCGATTGTGCCTGGCTACCACCAATGACCACCCTGACGGTGAACACAACAGAGAGTCCCCGACAGAGCAGAAGAAAAGTGGGCTGCAGAACTCAAATTCTACTAAAAACATCAGACTTAATCGTTTGACTGAGACTGGAGGGACCCTGGAAGACATGGCCCCCGGACTCTCTGTTAGTCCAAAACTAAAACCATTGCCGAGGCCAACTCTTCAGACAAAGATTAGACCGGACCATGGGACATAAAATGATACTCGTGAAGAGTGTGCTAAGTAGATACATGAGGCTAAATAAGCAGCTTCTGTCTGGAAGTGAGATGAGAAGGCAGAGAGGGTCAGGAGCTGGTTGAATGGACACAAGAAATCTGGGGAGGAAAGGAGGAGTGTGCTGTCACAGTATAGGGAGAGCAACTAGGGTCACATAACAATATATGTAGAAATTTTTGTATGAGAGACTAACTTGAATTGTAAACTTTCACTTAAAGCACAAAAAATAGTGAGAACCGAAGGGAAAGGTGGCAGGCAGACCCCAAGCATGACCCCTGTACTCACTTGTGCCCCAGATCCTGATCAGAGGGTAGCAAAAGGGTTGTAAAAGCATAAGGAAATGAAATCTTACTTCTGGGAATCCAAAAAATCCAGAACAGATAAACAGGAGAAAGGGGCTTGCTCCTCACAAGTCTTCCCGCTGGATCTACCCTGGAGCTGCCCCAGCTACGTACTAAATCCTACCTTCCTTGTACATCGCATGTTTCCCAGACTTTCCTCTCTTCTGTGCCTCCCTGTGGCCCCAGTCACTGCTTCTACATCGTTCTGACACGCATGCCGCACACTGCCCACTCACTTGTTGTAGCTGTTCCAGTACAGTTCAATATTCTCCAGGTTGGGTGCATGCACAACAATATTCCTATACTTTTGTACCAACTCAGAATTTCCAGACAGCTCTTCCTGAAGCAGAGAAGAGGGAGGAAAATTAGGGATAAGAAGAGAAGTCCACAGATACTGGATGAGAGGAAGCAAGCCTTCTTCCTTGCTCAGATCCTGTCCCCCACCTAGGGCAGTCGCCACAAGATTCAAGTCCCTGCTTGTCCCCTCTACTGCCTCCAGCTTCCACAGCTACTTACCTGGCTGAAGAGATGTCCAAGGATCATCTCCGGAGCGGAAGAGGTGAGGCCAGTTAGCTGTGAGGAAAGGGCAGGTGAGACATGACTCAGGGCATTATGGGAAGAGGAAACCCAGACAGAGCCACTAGCCTCCTCTTGGTGGGTCCAATGACACAGCTTCACTTCCCTGCCCCATTACCCCCTCCTTTCCTCCTTGAACTTCAGAGGCTATTCAGTTATGCTGATGAAGCTTAACTGGACCCATACAAAGGGAAACCCCACCCTAGATTTCAGCACACAGGCCCCTCCAAACCTTGTGGGCTGCCCAGTCCATCCAACCCTTAGCATTGGGATCAATGTTGATGAGGACAAGGCCCTCAACTGTGTCTGGGTGGGTAAGCTGAGGACAGAAAGAAGGGAAATCAGAAATAGGGCATGGCCTAATCCCCTTCCTCGCTGAGCTCCACCCACTCTTGGACTTCTCTAAGAGCAGCCTCCCCTCCCTCACACCCGCTTCCCCTCCTCAAACACACAGTAGTAAACAATACTCTTCTCATCATTCTCATCAGTCCACCACGGGCCCTGAACTCTCCTTTCTCTCTTCTGGGAGTTTTCATTTATTTTTATTTTTTTAAT